GCATATAATCGATCTATTTATCATTTATCTATTTAATTTATGTCCAAAGAACTGTAACGATCTGTAAATATGCTAATTATTACAGTTTCTTTGGATTACACAACTCCAAAATTTCTATTTTCAGAGTTCTGCGCAGATTTTGGATTGGTATAATCAAAAAATTAGCGATAATTAACATATTTACTAATCGTTGCTAATCTGATATCTATCAAATTTACTGATGTTGGTGATTCCGTTGGCTCGATCAGCGATTTCAAAATCTCAGAGCCACTCGACCAGATCTTGGTTTTTATCTCAAAATTTTCGTATCAGTATAAGAATTTTTTCGGGTCTTGGGCGAGATCAGCATTCATAGCATCACTAAGGTGAGTTAAGGCTTCTATTAAATTATTTATATCAGCCATTTTATTGATCTTTCTGTATGATGATATTTCCCTATAGTCTCCGTTGATTTCTTCGTTTGATGTCTCGGAGTCTTGGCTATTACCGTCATTGTCTGTAGCATTTTCATCAGGGTATTCTCGTAGGATGATCCATTCTTCGTTATCTTGTTCCATTGTTGGTCTCTGAGTTCTTATAATTTACGGTTGTTGAGTTGATATCCACAGAGGGAGCACCAAAAATGTTACAGGTTAGTGACTGATTATAGGAATTAGCTGCTAATCTGTAACTTGGATGGGAGAAACAAATTAAACTAAAGTTATTTATTTATTAGTTTTCCAAGGTTCTGTGCCAATATCTTCGGATATTGTTATGTTCAATTATCAGTTTAGTTTCATTTATGTGTTTCACAAATGTTAACAATGCGTTCACTTTTTCTGGACCAAAAGCATAAACCCTTAAATCGTAGTCGTCAAAACAATTATCTCACTTTTTTAGATCAAAGCGACAAACCCTTCAAATCGTTTTCACCTCACTTTTTCTGGATCAAAGTGGCAAACCCCTCTTTGTAACAATGGATTTAATTTTGGGATGGAGGACGAAAGGGCACCATATAAAACTAATTGTACGCAAGTAAGTAATTATATTTTTAAGGTTTTTATTGCTTTATTGCCAATTCTTCTGCCTATTCTCTAATTGCTCTCTCTCACTCTCTTTATATACATTTTTGGCTTCCTATTTATGATGTAATTTATGGTGTTAATTACAGTGTAATTTACAGTGTAATTTACCATATAATTTGCAGTGTAATTTGCAGTGTGATTTGTGATGTACATGTATTTTGCGGTGTAATTGAATTGATTGACACAAATAAAGAAATACACAAAAAAACAATGTGTTTCTAAAAGGAGATAGTATTACTGGTATAACACTCACCCTTGGTTTGAAAGTTTTTACTCCATAAAAACATGTGGATTTAGATGTTGTTAAAGATTGCAGAGATGTAATCTTTGCTGAATGTACTGATTTGGGTTGGGATTAATTTTAAGTGCCAGCTTAATTATTGCAAACCCTTTTGATGAAAGACCTGGTAGACATAGTTGGAAGTAAACCAATGGTGATTGATGGATGAGATTTTACAGATTTAATCCAACTCTTTCTTTAGAGATGCTATTTGACATTTAAATATTAACAGCATTATTGATATTAGGAAATCAAGATGATAGTAATATATCAATTTTATATGATTTTCTTCTTCTTATTGCATGATGTCAATGAGAACTTGCTGAATTCTCAATTTTTAATCTTGATCACTAGCAAATTGGTAACAAAATGTGATTTCAATGAAATCTTTTGGTTGAAAATTAATTAAGATCAGCTAGAATATCACAGAGTTTGCCAAAAATATTTAATATAATAGAAAAAGCAATAAAATTATTTGGTGAGAATGTTGTCTTAATTAATTCTTCTGAATTATTATTACTATCATTTGGTGAGAGCATTATTATTAACAATTTTTTTAGATTGTTATTATCTATTCTGGATAATTCCAGAAGATTATATTAATTACCTTCATCATCAGTAACTGTTATTTGTGTTTGACTAATGAAGACAGTTTCTTTAAAGTAACAGTAATTAAGTTTGAGTTATAATTGAAGAAGAAAAGTGATGATATCTGGTAATAGTATTAGAATGCTTATTCTTTTTTTATTTTTGTATGTTATTGTGCATTTATTTCAAAAATACTAATATATATATTTAAATGTATAGTTATCTGTCAAATTTTCACAATCAGCATAATTGTATTAAGGTAATCAGTTTATTATTCTTGTATATTAAACAGTATTAATATATAAAAAAATTATTATTATGTGATTATTAACTTTTTCTGAAGAATTTTATTTATTTATATTTTTTTGCTAATTTCTTTCATAATATTTTTTTAGCTATATTCCATTAAAGAGTTTCTTTAGCAATAAATTTTATTGACTACACAATTTATAAGTATTATTTCTGTATTCTTTATAAATATAATATCACTCAAGACTTTATTGTAATTTAAACTTATCACTGTATAATATGTATTATTTCATGTTGTAGATTAGTATTTTTTTATCAATTTTAAAGAATATTATCTTTATTTATCAATTATGACATTCTTTGAATTTTTTTTAGCTTTTGACAGCTCATTTTCTAATTATTTTTATTATTATTAGAAGTTAATGAATTATAAAAAAATGCAATTTAATATTTGTTGATTAGAATCAGTGTCAGTTTCTTTTAAAATTAAATATTTAGCAATTTGACTTTGTGATTATATGTCAAAAAGAAGAATTCATATTGGATAAATATATTTTTGTGCATTTGATAAATAAAAAGAGCTGTTAATATATATATCTCTCATTCAGTTTTTAATACTATATAATATTTTTGTGGAATTGTACAATGTTCTGTTGAACTATTCAATAATTCTATTAGTTTGCAAATGATACAGTAAGGAAAATTTATATTTGATACCAAATTTCATAATAAATTTATTGATTATTGTTGTTATAAATTCTGATTTTTGGTTCAATTATAATTTTTTAAAACAACTATGACAACAAATTATCTCTTTAAAAATAAATATAATTATAGTTAATATTTTTTTGTTAGAATTATCTTCACTTTGAACCATTTGGTTAAGTAATTAATGATTATAATAATATAATAATTTTCTTTATTTATTAGCTTGCAAGATCTAACAAGATTAATTATAATGTAATCGAATAGCTGATTAAGCTTAATAGAATATAATAATTATTTGATTATCTATTTACTAATTAATTAACATATTTTGTAAAATCTTACAAAATTCTTTATGCCATTTCTCATATTATTCCACTAATATTTTATAGCAATTCTCTGATAAATTTTCTTGAATTTGAAATATTTAGAAAGTATATTATTATATAAATTATTTATAATTACTTTGATTTCAGTTATTTTGAGTACATGAAGTAGATTATTAAGCTCTTTTCTACAGTTAATTTTGTAGAGTAGATCATTTTGAATTATATATTTTGATTAGTTTTGAATCTATTTGTATTATTTCTTGTTATATTCTTTGAGATAATCTTCATTTTTAAGATATCTTATTAGATCAAAGTACATTATTAGATCTATCCTGGTTGAGTTTGTTAAGATTTGAATATCTTTAATCAAATTCACCAATTCTGTAAAAAAAATAAAAAAATAATCAAAAAAAGATCCAGTTTTTAGTTCTGGAAAATCACAAGTTTTGTTAACAAATTTCTGGATTAAAATCTAATAAAAATTTGATTAAAACAGAATAAATGAAGAATATAATAACTTGGAATTCACCAATTTGATTCAGATAAAAATATCACCATTCAATTTATCTAGTCTTGGTGAATCAAATAGTAATATTTTTGTTCAGATCAGATTAGTTGATTCTAAGTTATCATGTTTCAAAGTTACTAAATTGATTTTTTGTTCAAAATTAAAATGAATATATTATTTTCAAATATATTATTATTAAATTCATTTAGTTTTGGTGAATTTAATGATAATAATTTTTACAAAAATAATCTGATAATTCATAAGATATTATGTTTCAAAGTTGCTGAATTAATTTTAATTTTTTGAAAAAAAACTTATTTGAATTTGAAACACTTAATTTAAAGCATAATATATTATAATCTACTAGATCAAATTTTGTTAAAATTCAATTACTATTCCAGTAAATCTCAGTAAATATGTGGCTTTATTTTCATATAATTTAGTTTAATAATTGATAAGATATTAATTTATTTTTAAATAAATAGAAAAAATAAAAATTTTGTTCAGTAACTTTGGGATATGATAACTCAAAATTTACTAAACTAATTCAAACAAAAATATCACTATTCAATTGACAAATTGAATAATAAATTTTTGTTCAGATTGAATTAGTAAATTCTGAATTATCATATTCCAAAGTTACCAAAATTTTTATTTTCTTTCATTTTTTCTGTTTTTAATTAAATTTTTATCAGGTTTCAATCTGAAAATTTGTTAACAAAACTTGTAATTTTCTGAAACTAAAAAACTGGATCTTTTTCTAATTAATTTTTATTTTTTTACAGGGTGAAGCTTGAATATTTTTTTCTGATATATATTATTATTAATATAAAAAAAATATTTATATTATTTTTTTTGCATATTATTAAGTGAGTTATTATATATATTTTGTATTTTAGTATTAGTATCCTATTTGTGAGAGTGTGTCTGTATTCTGGTTCATTTTTTTGGAGTAATAGATAATTAGAAAGATATATTTTATTATCATCATAACTCATTGAGAAATACAGAATTCAGAATTGGTTTATTTAATAATAATTTCAAAGAGTATCTTAAGAAGATAGTGTCAAAATTTTGAACAACTCATACTATAACAAGACCTTCTTTTTCAATAACATTATATTTTTTTAGCAAACTTCAAAGAGATACTCACATAAACAATAACTTATTCTTGGCTTTATTTATTCTTTTGAGAGAGAACTGCTTTTAATTTAGTATCAAAAGCATTTATATATAGGTAAAATTTTCTTGTGAAGTCAGTGTAGATAAAAATTGGAACTATAACTAATTTTTCTTTTAACAGATTAAACACATTTCTTGATCTATAGTTCAGACTAAAGATGACGCAGCAAGTATGTGATGCTTATTTATCACCCGTTGCAACACGTTGCAACTCCAAAATTTTATAAGCCGCAACTAGTTGCAACTAGGTAATGCTTTATTTGTCACCACGTTGTAACAGTTGCTGCGTTATCTTTAGTTCAGACTAAAAATGGTAGTTGCAATTACTATATTACAATACTATATATTATAACTTATTAAAAAATTTAATAAAATTCATAACTTGCTGTAACTTGTCGCAAGTTGCAACTTGTCACAACTTGTTGTAACTTGTCATAACTTGCTGTAACTTGTCATAATTTACTGCAACTTATCACAACTTGTTGTAACTTATTGTAACATGTTACAACTTATTATAACTTGTTATAACTTATTATAACTTGTTACAACTTATTATAACTTGTTATAACTTGCTATAACTTATAATAACTTGCTTTAACTTGTTATAATTTATTGTAATTTGTTGTAAGTTTTTATAATTTGTTATAACTTGTTGTAACTTATAAATAACTTTTTAAATAAATTTATTTAATAGTATATTATAAATTAAAATACTAATTATTAAAATTTTTTAATTAAAATTATTTAATATTTTATAATTTATCAAAATGATTTACTAATAGAAATATTTTTTAAATATTTATTCAAAATTTATAAAATTTATGAGTTATATATTTTAAAATATGCTAATAACTTTATTTAGTAATATATTGTTACCATTAATAGCCTTTATGGATAAAAATCTTTACTAGAACAATAGGCAGTGACTGCATCATGTGAAAAAGCATGGAGAAATAAACAAAATGTAAAATAATCTTCTAATATTATTATTTGTTAGCTAAAGTGCTAAAAGATTCACAAAGAATCTTTAAAAATAAAGTATATTTTTATAAGAATAAAATAAGTTTAACAAGAACTAAATGAATTCACCAAGAATTCGAAGTATTTATAAAGAGTTTTTAAGAAAGATAGAACACAAAATTCTTTAATAATTTAATGAATACTTCATCAAGAAATAATTTAGATTCACCAAGAATCTGTTTTATTAATCAAGAAAAGAAAACACAAGTAATCAATTCTTCTGATGAACACAAAATAAGTTAGCTATTAGATTTTAAAGAATAAAAGCAAAAAAATTTTATTACTTTTCTATCTTGTCATCTTTCTAGTTAAAATATATGCTATTTTTATAATAATTATTCATTACTCAATCTTCTTAATCTAGAACTAATCTATTCTATTTAGAATGAGATATAATTCATTCTATAAACTAATTTGTGGTGTTTCATACCTTTTGCTTGAGTATAATTAATTTACTATGAATTAATATTAAGCTAATTTGGTTCTCAAAGATCAATAACATATGTTTTTCATACTAATAATAATAATATGAAAATAATATAAACTAAAAACAAATAGCATGAATTAAAAATGAATAATATAAAATATAAATATAATAGTATGAAATATAAAAGATATAAGATAAAATAATATGAAATATAATGAAATTAGAATAAAATAATATGAAATCTAAAGAATTAGTATAAACTAAAAAGAATCATAATTTGTAGATTATATATTTACTAATTATTCAATAAAAATATACTATAAGTAACATGATATATCTTATATCAGATGCTGAATTCATCACATAGTGACAATATCTTAATAAAAACCAATTAGATTCTTAAGAATTATTATTTTTTGTCAAATATTATTATCATGTGAGAGAAATATTTAATTTATAATAAAAAACCAATTAAAATATCTTAATAAAAATCAATTAAATTCTTAATAATCATTATTCTTTATCAAATATTATCATTATATGAGAGAAATATTATTATTATAGATAAATGTTGAGCTCCTCATAATAATGACACTATGCTCATCTAGCTGATCTTTTGCATTAACATGTTAACAAATAGCTAAATAATATATAACATGTTATAACGATGACAATATAAAATTTTATTATTTTTATTTATTTAAATTTTTAACTATTCTTATTAAATATAATAAATTTTTGAGTCTATCAATTTTTTTATTTACTATTATAAATCTTTATGATAAAATTAAATAATTATTAATTCAATTCTTATTATATTTTTCTTATAAAAAGAACAATTATTTTATTTTATTTTATTAATTTATTTTTATTTTGAATAATTACTCTTCTTTTATTCTTATTCTTTTTATATATGTAAATAAAAATTATTATTATAATTAATTCTCCAACTTAATTCATTAAGATTTTAATTCAATATTGCTTAAATTTTATAATGGATATTTTCTATTATATACACAATTTAAATTTGCTTATTCTCAATTTTATCTTAATAAAAAAGATCAAAATACTATATGTATTAATAACTTGTAGAATGTTCTACATATTGTTATAGCTCTATTAGAGGATCTTTGCTATAATATTTATATATAAAATGATATTATTTACTTTCAAAATTTATTATTTCTTAAATTAATGATAATTGTTATAATTAATTAAAATTATATAGCTAAGTAATAAAAAATTTCAGTATCTTACAATAAATATAAAGAATTAAGATTTAATATATATTTAATTTATATTTTTATATTATTAAAATTTTATATTTATTTTATTATTTTATATTTTTATTTTATGAACTAAAATTCTTAACCAAGAAAAATTTATTATAATATGAATATTTAATTTTTATTTTATTAGTTGATTTATATTATAAATTTAATAAGATAATATTTTAATATTAGATTATTATATTATTGGACAACTATATTTAAAAATTCGAATTATATTCAAATTTTAATTCAAATTTTGGTTCAAATTTTGATTCAAAATTTAATTTATTCTATAATTTTATTGGATATTTAGTTTTTAATTTTTATATTTTCTTTATAAATATAATATATATTTTAGTTAGTAATAAAAAAATCAATCAAAAAATCAATAAATTCTATAGTTTTTAGAATTTTAAGAATAATTAATAACAATTAAAAACATGTAATAAATTAATAATAAATTTATAAAATTATATATTTATTAGTATATTATAATCTTATAATGAAACTACATATTTATTATATAATATTTTTTAATATTTCTAATATAAATTTCAGATCTTATTTTAGCAAATCACATTATGAATATATTGTTATCATTATTTTAGACTTATTATAATTATAATATAATACTTGAAGTATTATATTTGATTACATTATCTATATTCTTTTATTTATTATTGTTAATATATATTATTATAATTATCCTAGTTAAATAACTTATTATAATATTATAAATTCTCTCTTATATAATCTCATGATATCATAGAATAATAATAATATATTATTTTATATTATATATAGTTATGAACAAAAATATCTGATCTTTCTTCAACTTTTCATAAATTATGTGTAATGCACCAAATTTTTTTGAGCACAAAGAATAAAATTGTTCAAATCAAATTATTAAAGATCAAAATATCACATTCTAAATTGGTTGCTGATTAATTTTTATTAATATTAAAAAATGAAACTGCTACTTTAAGACATAATATTTTGATGTCTAATAATTTGATTTGAACAAAAATATTACTATTCAATTCTTCTTAATTAAACAAATTGAATAGTAATATTTTTATTCAAATTAAATTACTGGACATCAAGAATTAGATTATAAAATATTAAGATATGTGTTATAAAATAACTGATTATATTTATATTATGAAATAATTGATTATATTTGTATTATAAAATAACTAATTATATTTGTGACATGAAAGTTTATAAACATACAATATCTGATACTAATCTATAAAAAGTATCAATGATCAGCATTTGTAATATTCTTTGTGCTCAGAAAAATTTAATATATTATACATGATTTATAGAAAGTTAAAAGGAATCAGATACTTTTGATCATGATTAGAGATGATGCAGCAAGTATGTGATACTTATTTGTCACCCATTGCAACATGTTGCAACTCCAAAATTTTATAAGTTGCAACTAGTTGCAATTAGATAATGCTTTATTTGTTATCATATTGTAACAGTTATTATGTTATCTTTAATCATGATTGTATATATAATAATTTGAAATAAATTTTGAGTTTAAATTTTTAATATTATTTTTTAAAATATTTTTCTTATAAATTTATCTTATATTTTAATAAATATAAGTTAGTAAATAAAATATAGTAATTAATAGAATTATGAAATTATATATGTAATTTTGTTAATAAAATTTAATAAAAATTGAAATTTTTGTTTTATATAAAAGTTTTAATTTTATTAATAAATATTTTTTAATTTTTATATCAAATTAAAAATTATAATATATATTTTAATATATATATTTTCTGAATTTTTTAAATTTAATTTGACAAAGTTATTTTAATTGCAAAGTTATTATAAAAATTTTTTACAATTAAAATATAAAATTAATTATAAAAAATTTTTATAATAACTTTATAATTAAAACAATTTTATCAGAAAAAATCTAAAAAATCCAGAATAAATATATATTAAATTATAATTTATGATCTTTTGTTTTGATATAAAAATAAAAATATTTATTAATAAAATTGAAAATTTTTATATAAAACCAAAATTTTAATTTTTACTATTATAATATTATTGAATTTTATATAATTAAATTTCTCTATAAATAATTATATCATATAAAATAAAATAATAAATCATATTTCCAAAAAAATTTGATTTTTAATTATCAAATTAGTAATTCAAATATGATATTTCATTTGAAAATAACCAGATATTTTTTTAAAATTGATGTAAACAATTTTTAGTTAATTGTAATTATTATTTTAAGAAAATGTTATTAATTAAAAACTATTAGTTGTGTCTCTGTTTCAAAATTTCCTGATATTTTCATTTTGATACAATAATAAAGTGATAATGTAATTTATATCTTTGTCAAAAAATATTTTAATAAGATATAATCCAAAAAATTATATTTTGTAAATGTTTTCTATTATTGCTACAAACTTTTATCTTTTACGTAAAAGATTGTATTAATAAACAATTAACTTTTATAATTATTTCAGTGATCGGCGGAAATTGCATTTTGGAAATAGAATCTGGAAAAGAACAATTAGATCGGACCGGAATTTTATGGCAGAGTAGAGATGTAAGAAATTTTCACTATAATGTGTTTTGCATATTTGGTCACCCAATTTTTAATCCAAACCCAAATAAATAAAACACAATAAATATATAAATATTTATGATTATGATACAGTAATAATTATCTATCTACTTCCTCTTCCCATTTCATTTTCTTTTTTTCGATAACGAGGAAATTCGATGATGATGATTATTATTATTATATTTTTTGTTATTATTATTCGACTCCAAGTAAGTTTTTCAATTTTAGCATCAGATGCCAATCTTCTTTTGATAAATCATTTCGGAAGCTCTCTTTACAGACATCGATCGATTGTCGCGATATCTACAATAAAAATCAGAATTAGATTGAACTAAATCGAACTCATAACATAAATGATGATATTGTGTACATAAATAAAACATAATAGGCATAAATAAATACCTTGCTATAAAGTTCATCAGTCTCGACAAAATGCCGTCCAATCATCTTTGGACTCTCGTAAACCGGGCATTCTAACTTTATAGCCACCCCGCCACCAACCTGACCTTTTTTTACTACTTCGACTGCTTTGTGGTTTTGTTCTATGCTGGCCACTTTGCCAAGACCAATTGTTTCTCGTGCCTAAATTTGAGTTATCGTAAATATTAATAAATTGATTAATTTAGAAAACAAACTGTAATCTATAATCTATATAAGTACATTAGTAGCTGGATCAGTTTTCACAACACAAATGGGAGTTCCTGTTCTCAAAACACCATCAACTACATCTACTCCTATTATGATAGGATCTCGCTTATTGAATATAGCACCAGGTATAATTTTGAGGACACATGGGAAAATGGCTTGAGGTGCTTGATCTTTTCGCTTTTGCTCCATTATATCCTATTATAATAATATCATTTTTTTAATACAAATCCCATAAAACAATATTTAAACCAATTATAATTTACAAATAAGTAGCTATAAACCTACCTTATTATATGCAGTGAACTGATCAAACAAGTGATATATAATATCAGCCTGGAATATCTTTATACCCATCTCTTCGGCCAATTCTTGTGCTTCTTTATCAACTTTTACATCAAAACACAAAATAACAGCCAGCTCTTTAGCTTTCTCCAACATTGTCGCTGCACGCATTATATCCTTTTTGTGCACAGGCCCAATATTGATGCCCGAAACCGGGATTTTCGAAGTTTTCAAGAATTCCAATAGGGCTTCTAATGAACCTAGAGTTGACGCTTGTACACATACACCTTTTCCCGATTTATCAATAGCGCTGAATAAGCTTTTTAAATCGGCCATTACTTCATTTTTGACCTCATCCTCGTCATCATCAGGGCCAACTACCATCAGACGAGAGCCTGCAATTGCCTTTTCAAGATCTTGAGCCGAAATTTTTACACCAAGAGCAGCTTTGACTGTCTTATGATGCACATATGCAGATTTGACACGTAATTCCCGTAATGGTTGTGGAGTGAGTAACGCCCGAACGGTAGTGGAAATTGGCCCGTTCAAACCACACAGGACAATTCGATCGCCCTCGTTTAAGACGCCATTAGATAGAATTACGTCAATTGTGGTGCCGAGACCTTCAATCACTTTAACCTCCAAGACAGTACACTCCAGTTCCGATAAATACATTAACTGGTCACTCATCCTTGTTTGCGTCAAGTTCACTAGTAACATAAGCATATCGGGAATACCTTCGCCAGTGATAGCAGATGTCGGAACAAGAGAAACATTTTTTGCATAGTTCTTGTTCTCGTAGTACAAGCATGCATTAAGACCCTAAAAACAGTTATTGTTGAGAAATTCGAGAGAAAAAAGTGTTCAGACAAAATGAAAAGATAATACAAACCTGTTCTGCAAAAGCTATTATAGTCTCTTTCACACGATTTTCAAATTCGCGTTTCACGTTTATTGATTGTTCCGATAGAGAGTCTTGGAAAGCATTGTCAGGAATTGGTTTCCAATTGTATATACGATCGATCTATATGTAAACATTAAAATTAAATTTCTACGTACATATGATAAATAAAAATAAAAATCAAACCTTATTAAGCGCAACGATAAATGGGGCTTTACGGTCACGTAACAATCTTAAAGATTCTAGAGTTTGAGGCTCGAGACCGTGCTATTTATAATAATTACAAAAATTGAGATAATGCTAACAATTCGAATATAACTAATTTTAATTAAAAAATTTTGGTGTCACGTACCATAATATCTACAACAAGGATAGCTATATTACAGAGAGATGACCCACGAGAACGTAGATTTGTGAAGGACTCGTGTCCAGGAGTATCAATTACCAAAAGGCCAGGGAGCTTGTATTCTTGTTTCCCGTCCTATTATTAAATAAGTCAATCAACAAATAATAAAAAAATTCGAATATATATAAAAATAGAAAATAATTACTTTATTTATAGGTGCAGTTTTTATTTTTATTGTTTCCATTGGGAAATACGTAGCACCAATTTGTTGGGTAATACCACCAGCTTCACCCTCTTGCACATTAGTTTGTCGGATTTTATCCAATAATTTAGTTTTGCCTGATTGAAAGGAAATAAAAGAGATAAATCAAAGTTTAAATCAAAATTAAATGGGAAATAATTAATGACAAACCTGTATCGACATGCCCTAAAATACAGCAGATGGGGGATCGGAGATTATCTTTAGAGCGAGCAGCAAGAGCTTCTTCATGACGTTTCTAAAAAATTGTGAATTATTCGTAAATTGACAAAATATATAATTATAATTATAATTATACAAAAGTAAACAAGCGAACCTTTCGTCGTTCAGCGGCTTCTTGTTGACGTTTCAATGCCTGTTTTTGTGTCTCTGTCAAATCTTCACTATCTTCCGATTCATCCTCGCTATCTTCGTCTGTTCTCTCAGATTCAGATTCTTCTGATTCACTCTCAGTTTCAACTGTATTCTTTTCAGCCTTCGTTGACTCTTGTTTTGTAGGTGTTGATTTCGTAGTGGTGGTAGCGGTAGGAGTAGTCTTTTTGGTATTGAGAGCTTCGGCTTTTTTAGGAGTGACTTTGGGAGCGGGTGCTGTTTTTGCAGGTAGTTGTGTTTTCGTTTCGGTGACTGACGGTCTGATGGTGCTATAAAAACAAATATATTATGAATTTTATGCATACCTTTAGGCCCATTGACTTTCAGAGTCTTTGTGTCTTCTTCAGATTCATCTTTCAAATTTGGCTTCGTATCATCTTCTGATTCTTCCCAACTCTCTTTAACTGAACTCTCTTTTGCTTTTTTTGGTATTTTTTTTTCTATTTCCTCTTCAGAGGTTTCTTTATCCTCCCAACTTTCCTTTGAAGCTTTTACCAATAAATTAATAAATTATTGATTTTACACACATTTCAAATGGTATCAAGAAATTAAAAAACGATTACCTATTGCCGGTTCCTCATGTTTCTCAGAAATCTCAACTACATCATGTTTCTCAGGAATCTCAACTACATCGTGTTTCCCCTCTTCTTTCTTTTGTTCATCCTCAGCCTGTTTTGTAGTTGCTGACCCTTTTTTCTTTTTATTATTATAAACGACTTTTTTGGGTTTCGTGTCCGTTTTTTCGGCTAATCCTTCTACTTTGAGACCAGACTCGATCATTTGTTGCATACGCAATTGAGCTTGCTGTTGTTTTGTTTTTTGGGCTTTTGTTAAGAGCTTCCCTTCTTTTTTCAGTTGTTCTTTCTTTGCCTGTAATATTCAATCGTTTATTAATATGAATGAATGAATGAATGAAAATCAAATATATGTGAAAAAATTAACTAACCTTCTCTCTTTCCTTTTTTAATCGTTTCATTTCTTCTTTTTTTTGCTCTTCTTCTTCGGCTCTTCTTCGTTCCTCTAACCATTTAACAAATATAATTTTAGATTGAAGCTCGATAAACAACGATGAACCTGATTTTATATTATTACCTTCAATACGCTTTTTCTCTTCTTCCTCTTGTCGACGCGCTTCCTCTTCAGCTGCCCTGTTTATTTATTATTTTGTCAGTCTGATATTTTGATAATTTTGTTCGAATCAAATAAAATTACCTCTGGGCTTCAAGAACCGCTCTCAGTGCAGCAACATTAGGAGCCTTCTTTTTAGGCTTTTTTTCTTCTTCAACAGCAGTAGGTTTTTTCTTCTTTTTCTTCTTTTTGCTTTTACCCTTTTCGTCTTCATCCTCTTCGTCTTCATCAGCTGGCGGAGGTTGTTCCAGAGTAGGGGGAGGCGATGGATGTTCCACTTTATCCTCTTGATCTTCCACTTTTGTAGCTTCCGGAGGTTTAGATCCTGTCAAATTTTTCTTCTTTTCAGCCTCTGCTCTCTTTTTCTCTTTTTCCTTTTGTTTTTTCAGTTTCTCTTTTTCTTTTTTGCTTAATATGTGGATTTCCCCTGTATCACCGTCTACTTGTTTATTATCTTTTTCCTTTGCAGCAGTATCTTTAGATTTTTCTACAGCTACAGATTTTGCAATGTCATTATTGTCCGTTTCCTTTCCTTTTTTCTTATCTTTTTTGGTGTCTGCCGCGAACTCGTCTGCCCAGTCGTCAGGCTCTATTATTTGAGTTGCAGACTTGGCAGCAACTGTAGTAGTTGTTGTTGTTGTGTTGTCAGCTGCGATATCGTTTGCTTGATCGTTTTCTACAAGTATAGAATCAGCATAGTCGTCGTCTGTTACAGCATTCTTTTTTTTTTTTTGTTTTTTGTCCTTTTTATTAACTTTTGATATTTGTGCCATGAGACCACCGAACTCGTCATCCTCTATAACCGGGGGAATGTCTTGTGAGCCGTCGTATTTTGGAGTTATGATGGAAGAGGAAGCAGCACTTGAATTCGTAGGTTCAGGGTTTGTAGGTGGTGTGCTGGTTTCGGCGGGTTCCTCCTTCCTAAATTGAGAACACGCATTAATGATCGAGTTCAAAAATTGCCTTTACTTAAGGAAGCACATGAGAGTAGTGTAGAAACGAGCAGCTTACCAGTGATCGTCCTGAGCTTTCTTTTTTACTTTTTTATCTTTCTTTGCCATTTCTGTTGAGGAAATAAAGTGTAAAAAATGACTCACGTTTTATGAATTTTTTAGATTCGAATGATTCATGCATAAGGATTATTCATATTCGATAAAAAATAGTGATAGAAAATTGTTTACACAATTACCATTTCTTTTATTTAAGAATGTCTTATTTTCTTCCGCATTTGACAAATGGTAAGCTTCTCTTTCAATGTTACAAGCTAAGTATTTTTTTCAGTTGAAGTTTCGGTGTAATTTTATTTTATTGATTTATTTAAGGTTGGCAAGTTGATCAAGCTATTCTCTCTGAAGAAGATCGAGTCGTGGTGATACGGTTCGGACATGACTGGGTATGTAGATAGATTCCAAGCATAGTCTCTCCAAATGATATTTTTCAGTTTATACAGGACAATTAGCCATTCCATTTTATTTTTATTTTTATATATAAAAAGGATTTAGATATTGCCAAGGGTCAAAATAGATATATACGAAATAAAAGAGGCTCTTTTTAAACTTACTTGTACATTAATTTGATCTTGTTAGTTAAATATTGTTTTCTGTGAATTGGTCAAATCTCGAAATTATACTGATTTAAGATTTATTCCATTTGTTTTGTGTTGGATATAATAGGATCCAACCTGTATGAAAATGGACGAGACGTTATATGGAATCGCGGAAAAAGTCAAGAATTTTGCCGTAATTTATTTGGTGATAACCTTTAAATTACACTGTTATTTTTAATATGATAAATTAATATTTATCAATAACTTTATTATTATTATTAGGTCGATATTACAGAGGTTCCGGACTTCAATAAGGTACAACAATATCAATAAAGAATATTCATAAAATATTTCGTATTCTCATCACTTATTAGCTCTTTATCGCGTGAATTTTCAATTAATTTTAATAAAGATGTACGAACTCTACGACCCGTGCACAATAATGTTCTTTTTCCGCAACAAACATATCATGATTGATTTAGGTACGGGTAACAATAACAAAATAAACTGGGTATGTTTCTTTTTATTTTTTACTATTTATTCATTACTATTACTTAGTTAATTTGCTAATAGAAAATCAAATACGATAATAGGCACTGGAAGATAAACAGGAATTAATAGACATAATCGAGACGGTTTATCGTGGCGCGCGAAAAGGTCGAGGTCTTGTGGTCTCACCGAAAGATTACTCGACTAAATACAAGTATTAGATGAAAGTGAACTGAATAGTAGTAGCGTTGATTTGGGATGGCTGATGTTAATATTGTAGTAATAACACTTAGAGGATAAGATGAATTTTTAGAGATTGAATTTTCAGCATTTTTCATTCTTTTATAGCATTATTAGAATTTTTAATATTCCATGTTCAAAACTAGAGGTTTTAATAACAAACAAATTAACAAATTATATTTTTAAAAAAAAAACCGAATTCACCTAAACAAATACATCGTTCATCATGATGACACAATCTTTGTTTCAACCGGTAGAAAATCTCGTTTTGAATTAAACCCTCTCTCGGAACTAAACGCCTCACATTTCACCAATTCGATTTCCATTTTTCCACCCCTGACAAACAGCCGCGTCATACACTTTGTCACGTAAAGTTTCAGATATTTTGTGCCAGACTCTGGGTCTGATTTAAGTAGATAGGCGAGGCGTTCGATATTTGATAGGGCCTCGGATGTGGACTTGATACCGTCTATTTCGAATGCGCATGATTCTGGTGATCGGGTCGTTGTGCTGACTTTTTGGTGAGGGATTTTGATGGACTTTGCAATGTTTTCGAGTTTTTGAACATCTTTTTCAGTGAATACTAGTTCGAATTTCACTATTGTTTGTGTTGTTCGTGGTGGCGATAGAAGACCGAGATTCATTTGAGTTGTTGACGCAAAATTTATATTTGTGTTGTTATTGGTTATCGTGTTATTATTCGTGTTGGTATTAACTTGGTACCGACAAAACAAATTAATATCGTGAATCTCCACCAATAAATCGTAAATAGCACCTTCTTTTGTTCTACTCTTATACAACACCGGTATCGAATTCACATTATTATTTACATCGGAGGGATCACTTCCCTCCGGCAAAATAACACATGATGTTCGAATATCTTTCAACAGGAACAGAATATCATTTTTTCCACTCTGATCTTTAGCGAACCCATTCACGATCGCTCTCGACTCCAATAATTTCTCTGTCAGCCCTCGAAGATGATAAAATCGTCCATCTTTTAGCAGATTTTGTCGATGCACTTCGTCCCGGATGCGTACTTCGTAACCCTGCAAATATCGTAAAATATCGGCAAATAGGTCCGGGTCGCGATCAAGCATCGGGGGTGGAATCGATGCATGTTGTATTTGTATATTGGGAGGTGGTTCCCATCTAAATCCAAATCCTAAAATAGTAAGTTAATAAAAAAATGATAATCTAAAAACAATTCACGAATATTAGTATGAATAGATAAATAGTAAACTTTTTTACCCATAGTAGTGAAAAAATTTGGTGAGTCTCGTTTGAGGACTTCTTGCTCAATGCGAAATACTTTTCCCCCGAGATTCACAATACATTTTGTTTGTAATTGGGCTTTAAGTTTTGTGAGACTATAGAATATTGCATCGACATATAAATCCGTAAAGTGCACCTTGATATTTCAGCAATTATTAATTAATCGCAATAATTGACTCTCATTGAAGATATTATATTACAAGTGATTTTCTCTACCTCGTCACGCGGCATAACATAATATCCTTGTAAATGCTTTACCTAAATCAAAAATGTATTCAGAGAATTTCGACAATAAAAAAATATTTAATCATTTATCCACACTACTCACAATATCTTTGAATATCTCCGGGTCTCGATCAATATACATCATTTTAGTCAATGACTCTTCCAGCCTCGACGTAAAAACATTCGTGAAATAGTTTGGACCATCCGAGCTCAGAGAAAGCCATGTCAGTTTGAAACTCTGACCGCCGACCACAATCGTGTAGTATGCTTCTGACATAGATGTATTAAGGTCAGCACCAGCCATTGTCAACGATATTGAGGTGGTATGTGAGCTCGACGAGGACATTTTTTTTACGTGACTACATTTTTTTCTTTCTACCTAAAAATTCCTGGATATCATATATTATTACGACATTTGTGTTCCCAATAATGGTGCAGATAATGTTATTTAGCCCTAGGCGAAATTAAGTAGTAGCGAGTTTATTATCAATGGCGTTATTATTTGCTTGTCACCTTCATAATTCCTATTTTAGACTTGTCTGTAATTTAGGGACGAAATATTTAGCATCCCTAATTCCCTGCAGCATCATATGTCATTGAACTATATCTATTTAGCTTTCTTTTTTCCTGACGTAGTTTTTACTTTACGTTTTTTAACAGCTTTAGGTATTTTATTTTTACGCTTTTCACGTGTTTCGTCTTTTGCGATTTTTTTTCGCTCCTAATTAACAAAATCAATTGATCAATCAATTAAATAAATCACTAACAGAGGTGAATAAAATAGAATTTACTTTTTTAGCCTCCTTATCCTCATTCCGCTTCCCCCGAGATGTTTTCGCAAAAACATCGTCAATGCTTATTTTATCCTCTTTTTCATCTTTAGAATCATCCTCGTCTTCACTTTCAGAAGATCCATCTTGCTGTTGTTCTTCATCTCGTTCATCCTCTTGATTTTTCGTTATTTCTTTGTTGCTTTTACTTGCATTATCCAGAGAAATTCCTGTCAGCTTTCGATATATTAGCTGTATAAAAGAAACATATAACAAACTAATGAGTGAGAAATTCGCATCCCGTGATAACTTTTTGTCTTTCCTATTGATTGATTGAATCGATCCTGCATACTTCATCACCCTCGCCCTCCATGAGTTTCTGAATATCTCGTTCCGCGTCAATAACCTCATCTAACGTGCGAGGAATATAAATTTGTTTAAAAACTGCTTCATCCACCGAATAACCTTGATCTTCATCTTGCGAATAATTCGCATTCGATAACCGTTCTTTAATCTATCAATTAAATAAATTTGACGCGGAAAAATGAAACATATTAAAAGAAAAGCCAATAATTTTTCCCAAAAGAAAGAACAAAAAAATACTTCATCCAACTCCGCTTTCAGCACATCCTGTTCCATACCAATATCCCCATCCGTAATAAAATCAAATAATTCGCGAACACTCATTGTTCGAACTCCCTTCTTCTTGAAATAGTCGGTCACGTTCACGCAATCTTTGCGTAAGAATTCAAGAGAGTGTGGATGATCGTGTTCAATTGATTGCGAGACATCAATAATGTAGAGTCTTCGTGAATGATATCTGGAGATCGTAAGATTATATAAAAAATTAATAAGAGAAAATCGATCATAAATTTAGAAATGTAAAGTTACCAAAATACACACAAAATATTATATTCACTTAAATCTGCATGAACCAAATGACACGTCTGATACATTATTCGCATTATTTTGACAAGCTGATAATAAAGTTCCGGGTATTTATCCGAACTGATATTAGCATCTTTGAGTCTAGGATATGCCCTAATTCGTTCATTAGAATCAAATTAAATAATTGAATATGTTGCGTAAAAAAAATAAAATAAAAGCTCACCACCCATTTTTATCCCCCAAAAATCCCATAACCAAAACATGCATCTTCAGCAAAAGTGGTTCCGGACACGGCACCCGTGCTTGCCACAACCTCTTCAAATTTCGCATTTCTTTTTCCGCCCACAGTTTGACCATTTTTCGCGGATTGTGTTTACTGTATCCATGTCGAAAACGATATTCGCCAGTGACGTATCGATCACGATCTTTAAATGTGAGAATAGACGTTTTATAGACTTTTATCGCACGATGTGCTCCTTCTTCTGTTTGCGCATGATAGACATTTGCCTAATTTTATTATCCTTTAATTGTGAATGTGAATTAACGAATAGATATTAAAAAAAATATAAAAGTTTCTTACTTCTTTACCGGTACTAATACACCCATTAATCTCATATATGAAATTACGATTAATCAATTTAAAAAGGATTATCCGAGTGCGCGGGTCCAATACTTGTTCGACAGTCGCTCGATCAGATTTATCGGTGTTTTTTTGTCTAATCAATTTGCAAAAGAAAAATAAATGTATAGTTATACTTCTCAATATGCCTGTATGCTTACTTATTCCCCTGTGCTTTCATATTACTCATTCTTATATCATTGGTAACAGAAGTAGATAACTGACTACCAGTCAGATCATCTTTTATTTTTGCATATACAAAATTAATAAGTGTCCATAATGCAAAAATAATGAGATAGAAATAGTAATGCACATTACCTAAATGAATTCTTCCCGCATATTTACTCAGTGAATTTATTTGATCACGTAAATTAGCTTGCATTGATTTTCGATTTGTTTGCATAGAATTCGAGGGGTCACATGCAGATTTCTTGGGAGACGTGAGTAATAACTTCTTTTGATTTGTCGATGATGAGGGTGATGGTGTTAGTATTGCCGTTGTAAATGATAATCCAGTGGAATTTGGTTGCAATTGTTGCTTTAGACGATTATATTGCTTTGTGAAATCTATGCATTTTATTATTTGATTATTATTATTTGATACTTTGCATATTTCATCATCAAAAGTAAAAAAAAAAAAAACAGTGCACACACCTCCGTGAGCGACAGCCCACTCTTCATTATCGTTCAATTCATCTTCGATAAAATCATCCGATAGCTCATCATATTCACCTTCTTCATTTTCTTCTTCTCCTTTGTAATAATATTTCTCGGATTCATCAATGTTGAGATTCCCTTCATTTATTTATTTATTTGTTTGTTATTTTGTTTGTTTATTCGTCTTTTCCATTGATGTCACGTGGATAAAACTTACCTTTGTCAATAGTAGCAGGATCTTTATCTTCAGGGGCGTCATCAAATTGTCCAGGAACGAAATGTGACACATGAACTTTTGTTTTAGTTACTGCTGCCTTTTCTCTATTTGCCATTAATTGCAATGTATTTTATTATTAATTATTATTATTATAACAATAGAAATAGAATAAAAAACAAGGTGATACAAAAAAATGAATCAACCACTAATCTTTCAAAGAAAATGAAGTGGCTATATCCAATTGCACCTCACAGCAAAGTAAATCGCCGTTTAATTGGTCTTTCGTACTGTAGCAAATCCGATTGCTCACAAACATAAATATATGCGTTATCGAGAAGCATCAAATGTTTCACAAAATTCGGGGGGTAATCTTTAAATTCTAACTACTAGGTAATAAAGCAACATCATCATCAAAAAATCATCATCAATATAAAGGCCATCAGCAAATCAAAAGCTAACCATTGATTGTTGGACTTTGCTATCTCAACCACTCATTCTCTTTGGACCTCACCACTTCTTATTGGACTAGAAAGGACCAATACCAACACAAGAAGGTAACCAACTAGTGAAAACGTTTATTTCGCTCGACTTTTTCGTAGATGTCGTTGCGCCTTAAACAATAGATCGTGTTATTATTCTCAACCAACTAATTTCCATTACTTTTCGTCCACCATATTAACGTTTGTCTATACGCTCTTCAACTTGTAAAATGGCATCATTCCCGCACAACTTTTCTTTGATGACTTGTGCTAGACTTTTTTTCTCTGATTATTTTACTTCACATTGTGTTAAAGCGAAAAGCGTATTCTACTAAACATCAAATACTACTACTACTACTACTACTACCACTACTACTACTACTACTATTACCTCTTCCATAAAGAGTAAACAAGTAACAAGTGATTGTTTAAAAGCTCTAATTACAAAATGGACAAGGAAGATAAACAACAGCAACAGTCTCCAGCCGCGCCTTCTTCCCCTAATAACACCGAACAAAATAAAGACAAAGCACAAGGGAAAGTTCAAGCAAATGGTCAGCAAGAGATAAGCGAACAGCAACCAGATGAGAAATCAAATACTACTTATGAAATTGCCACTTCTTTTACCACGTTGAACCATGGAACAACCAGTGTTGTTGACCCTGTAAGTGTTTTTTATTTTTTTCCTTCTTTTGGTATTTTGATTTGCCCTTATTGTGGTGTATATATATTTTTTTATCTTACACAACAAACACATGTATAAATATATTAATGTGTATATTTATATAGTCACTTCAACCGGAACCTTCAAAAGCAAATTCTCCCAGTAGTAATTTTAACGCTACTACTGTCACATATACTGCACAACAGTATGGCTTGGTAAAGTTTTGACTTTATCATGCATGTTTTATGATTCGTTTATGAAAAAAAAATAATCTTTCTTTAATTCTAATTGTCACACTATATGCAAAGATTCAAGAGTTTATGCTAATAATAATTAAATTATTAATTACATCATGATGTAGATTATCCCACCTGGTAGTCATCCATTTGTCATTACCCCGACAACTCCTCCCGCACAAGCAAATGCTGCTTCTGCCAATGCTTCACCCAACGCGGCGACCGAAGATCAAGAAGAACCACTTTATGTTAACGCTAAACAAGTTAGTATTTTTCATCAATCATACTTAATTAAACATGCGATGAACTAATACGATTCCTTTGGAAATTATAGTATCATCGAATCTTGAAGCGAAGAGCAGCTCGCGCGAAACTAGAGGCTGAAAATAAAATTGCTCGAGGACGTAAGGTAACTTTGTAATTCATATCATTCCTATATATCATCGTTATGGCTTATCCAGCTTATGCTCAACTGATCAAATCGATATACATCTCTTGAAACAGAAATACCTTCACGAGTCTCGTCATAAACATGCTATGCGAAGACCACGTGGACCCGGAGGTAGATTCTTGACTGCCGCGGAGATTCAAGAGATGGATCGAAAAAAGAAAGACGAGATGTCGTTAGGCAATAACAATAATAGCAACATTAATAATAGTAATAATAATGATAGTGGCGCTACACCAATGGACCTTGATCCGCAACAAAAAACAGCAACTAATATAACAAATTTAATGCCAGTGGTGGAAAATGGTGTCAAGAAAGAGATTCATAAATAATTTATTATTGGCATTTATTTATCTTCCTTCCTTCTTTCTTTCTTTCTTCACTTAATTAATTAATTGTTCTCTCTTTCATTCTAATTATAGTATCGTAATTATCTTTAAGCATTTCATGTTAATGGAATTTTGAAAAAAAAAACAAGTTGATCTATTTCTCTTAATTTCTAATATACTTTTTAATCTTGGCATTGTTGTGTACATCATAGCTAACGAACTACTGTTGGTTGACTCGTGGAACATTTACAAATTCATCACTACTACCGAGAACATAAAAAATTATTTTCCTGTGTCACTAATGATTTCTTTCTACTTCCATTTCCAATCTTAATTATAACTATCCCGCATCGTTAAACGTTGCTCGAGCGTTAAACGCGTTAATATTCCGTCATAACACTTCAATGGCAGTATTATACTAACTCATAACAAAAAAACTATCAGACATTTATTACCACCAACAAGCGGCGGCAAATATATAGAGAGTGTGTGTTTAACCAACCTCCAGGACGGTTACATAGAAGTTACGGATTGAGTGGTGTGCCGCTTGTTGTCTTTGGTAGTTGTTTGCTCTTGTCATTAACTGGTACACGGCCATACAACTATATATAATATATACAAATAACTCAATTTCACGTTTTGGTTAGTTCGAAATGGACATCGAAACCTTAGACCTCGAGGAATTAGCTGACCAAGAGAGTTTACATGAAGTTGCTCAATCGGTCAGACACGCTAAAAAATGTATAATTATAACTGGCGCCGGAATTTCTTGTAGCGGAGGTATACCGGTTGGTATTCAATTTTCGCGTCGGGATTTCCGAATTGTTACATGTAGAGTTTTCACATATCAATATGGCCATTTATTTATTTTTTTGAAAAATATAAACATATTGGTTTTTTACAGGATTTTCGTTCTTCAGATGGCCTATATAACATGGTCCGATCAAAATACCCGGGAACATTTCGTTCCGGTAAAGATTTATTTGATGCAAATCTTCTTCACAATGAATCTTCGATCAAAGCTTTCCACGCCTTCATGGGTCTCTTAAAAGAATATGTGGTGAAAGCGAAACCCACGCCAACACATCATTTCATGAAAAAAATGTATGATCAAGGAAAACTAGTTCGCGTGTACACACAAAATATCGACAATTTAGAGGAATCTGTTGGCCTAAACGTGAATTGGCAGGCTGATTCTCGTGGGGCCAAAGTTATACAGCTTCATGGCTCTATGGAAGAGCTTAAATGCAATTCATGCAATGAAAACTTCGAGTTTGAAGTATATCATTGTGAAATTTTCAAGCAAGGTGAATCACCCGAATGTCCGGCGTGTGAAGAAAGAGGTAAGTAAACAAGGAAAGCCTTATTGTCACCTTTTTTATATATATAAAGGTTACTTTGTTGCGTCTTTCTTTAACTACATTCAAAAACACAGAATCAGTGAGACAAAGACAAGGAAAACGGAGACATACAATAGGACGTTTGAAACCAAATATTCTACTCTATGGAGATTCCCATCCTCAAGGCGACCAAATCGGCGAAATAGCCGCACGGGACGAAGAGAAATCAGACTGTCTAATAATAATGGGTACGTCTCTTCGAATTCCCGGCGTGAAACGACTTATCAAACAATTCGCCAAAGGAGTACACAACCGAAATGGGAAAGTGATACTGGTTAACGCTACTGACGTAGCACGAAAAGAATGGCAGTCGTACATTGATTACCAAATTATCGGGACATCTGATGAATGGGTGCGACTTGTCGAGGAAAATCAACCCGAAGGGAATGCAACGTCATCTCGTAAGAAACGTCGGAAAGACAGTGATAGTGATGATGATGATCATCACCATCATGGTCGCGGTCGTGGTCGTGGTCGCCGACATAGTCGTCGTCGTCGTCGTACTATAGATAATGTAAATAAGAATAGAGAAGTGACACTACGAAAATATATGAAAACAACAAAAAATATACCCACAAGAAAAAAGACTAGAAGTAATAATAACAAATAACAATAATTGTGGAATGGATGCTGGCAATAACGGACGGGGACGGTGACAATAATGGACAGTGACAATAATGGACGGTGACAATAATGAAATGACACACACGTTCCGTTGTGTTTTTGTTTGGTGCGAGATTAGCAAGATTAGATTGCTTATTTATTTGCTCATTGTTGTTGTGTGACTTTACATAGCTAAATAGAAATCAAACCAATAAAATGGTCAATTATAAATTAACCTGTTCAAAATTGACTCGTAAAAATGTCCTCTTCATCACAACATGAAAACCCACAAGTATACACAAATTTGTTTGGCGAAACAACGACGCTAACGTTTCCCCAAGGCTCTTCGTCGTCGTCTTCGGCACCTCGTGTTCCCTCACCTTCACAAAATCAAAAGTTTAAAGATTTGCTAGTGTTTGAAGAACGATTGAAGCAGAATTTTCATAAATTGAGTAAGCGGCAACAGAAATATGAAGGTATTTTGAATTTTCTAATTCAATTGAGTTCTTTATATGGGTGCGCGACTAATCTTGGATCATATATTTGGAAATTAGCAATTTTGGGATTTAATTGCTGTGTAATTATGTTGTGTGGCTATTTTGTTTGCTTTAGTAAACTTGAGGTAAATTTTTTAATCGAGTTGAAATCGTTGAACTCATCATTCTAAGAATATCGTTCTAAGAATTCATTCTATTTCGTATATACACAGAATGAACCATTATATTTCCTGTGTAAGACATTTTTTTTAGCTTCCATAGTCTATACTTCAGTATTTTTCTTAAGCGGACAATACACCGAAAAAATTTCAGTTGGACAAAAGTATGTTTTTTGTTCTTCCTGTTATTCTTAGATCAGACTTTATTAACGTGAATACTTCATAATAACTCGAAAGATATGTACCGCAATGTAATCGTGCTCTACGTGCTTTCAACATCCACTTCAATCGAGATAACAAAGGTGAACTCACATTCTATCGTAAGGTTCCTAAAAAATTTCAGGAAGGATTCGAAAAGTATCGCAAGTTGTATATTTCGAAGAAACGAAAAGTGAAGGCAGAGAAAGAAAAGAGCAAAGAAAAGTTGTGATATGCAAGAATAATATTTTAGTGTAATATATAATAATATTAATTAATTAATTTGAAATTCTTGAGCTTGTTAATTGAATTTGTAAATTAACATCTCTACACCTAACAAATATTATAACTATAATAATAATAATAATAATAATAATAATAATAATAATAATAATAATAATAATAATAATAATAATAATAATAATA